GGACCATCTGATTCTACTCATATGAGGTATTTTGAGCAGTCAAATTTATAGAGGCAGAAAGTACAATGGCGGTTTCCAGGATATCTGGGAGGGAGAAATATGGAGTCAATGTTTAATAGGGATAGAGTTTTAATTTGACAAATGAAAAAAATTATAGAGATGAATGGTGGTGGGGGATGCATAACAATGGTGGGGATTGCATAACAATGAATGTACTTAATGCCACTGAACTATACACTTAACAATAGTTGAAATGATAAATTTTATGTCATATTTTACCACAAAAATAACTTTTAAAAATTAAAAAATAGGTATATAGTTGTTTTATTGTGTGAGAGTTCAAATATGTGTAGAGAGTGCATGCAAAAGCTTAATAGCCAAAAGAATGAACTGTGCTAGTTACCAATTTGTGGCCTCTCACATCCAAATTGACTTTCTTTGCCCACTCTGCAAAAATGAATGTGAGGAGGTGAAATTTTAGCTGAGAATTAAAGAATGACAATAGCCAGATGAACTTTAACATATCTTTTTCCTTATTCCCAAAATAAACCTATCTATTTATTTGTATACATAATTATATTTATTGCATTTCCAAAGGAAATACATTATTCAGTTGGGAGTCATTCACATGCATTTTATGTCCAATGTGCTAAATTTTCTGAGGTTTCCAGCCATCTAGGAAATGAACCTTTCCTGTTCCTGAGATCTCAATTGGCAGGCTGTATAACTAGGTGTGGAAAGTAGAATAAGACAATTCACAATAGTTTTCAATGGTTCTTTTAGAAGCTGGAAGGACACAAGCCCTGCTATGTCCACTCTGAGAATACTGCTCTAATGAGAAGACTATACCTTCTTCACTTTTTTGGTTTAGGGAAATTTAGTAGATCAACTAGCCATTCATTCGCTTGTGGACTATCCTAGAAACCAAACATCATTTTCTAAATAGTAAGAAATCTGAATGTTTAAAATTACATTTTAAGACTAAGGTCTTTTTCTTTTCCCTATAGTCTGCTTGATTCTGCTTAATTACAAGAGTGTTTATTCTAAAATTAGAAAGATTAATCAGGTTTCAAGAAAACAACGTGCATCAACTCTGAAAAAAAATTCTAGTTTAAGGAACTGTGACATCATCTGAGGAAGATAAGAGTCACATAAACAATTAGCAAAAATCTTAAGAAAATCACGTTTCATCAACCTTCAGTACTTCATATATCCTAGGTACTCAGGAAATAGCCTTCATGTACTGTTATTTGTTATTTACCTTCACAACAACCCAACATACTGGCTATTGTCTCAGCTTCACAGATGAGAAAACTAAGACCCAGTGTTTAAGTAATTTGCACTAACACACAAAGCTAGAAATCTGGGGAGTTGGGATTCAAGCAGAGGTGTATAATATAAAAGCCTAGGTACTTTCTACTCCTTCCAACTATTACATACAATTAAACTGGTATTGTGCCTGATAATTATCGCCTCTCATGGAACCCAGTGACACTGATTCTCCTAGGTGGAAGTTGTGACAAGGGAGGATGAAGAAGCTGGCCATTCTAGGAGGCACTACCAAATCCTTTACATAGTAAGTTAATAAATAGACATTTATTTAGCATGAAAATATATGGTATTTCTAAAAGCAGGTTTCTAAAAACCAGGTCCTTTTTTTAGGGGAGAATTTTAAGAAAAGCAGACATTTGCTTTCTTTGAAATACTTTTTTTTTTCTTTTTCTATGAACAGTTTCCTAGTTTCTTAGCCCCTAAGTTCATCTTTTGGTTAAAAAAAAAAAAAACAGATTAATACTCTTTGAGCCATTTCTAAACACTGCTGTGCTCCTGCATGTTTTTGATCCAAAGTTTTAGAACATTTGACATCTGAAACAATCACTTTCAGGTACTATTAGGTAAAAACATTTCCCAGGAATTAGGAAAGTATTATGCTATTCCAATATTTTTAATATGCTGCTGTCATAATTCAGATTTAGAGATCAAGCCTCAGAGCTGGCTATGTCTCACTGAATGAATGTCCTTGGGTATAATTTGCTCTTCCAATTCTCTGCACACAAATATAAGAGGACATGCAACTCCATTGGGGCGGCTTCTGAGAGAACTAAAGCTCCCTAGTCAATCCATCACTGTTTGCCTGAAATATTAAGTGCATTTCTATTGAAAATGTTCTTAAAAGAAGACTAATAAGTTGGCCCAAACTACATTTACACAGAAGAAGGATGCCCTCATTTTTAAAGAATGTTGGAAATGAATGTTGTGATATAACTGCCACAGCTCATAATGGCATTGAAGGGTAAGTTAAATGAAATTAAGTGCATTATGCCATCAAGAAAGTAGTGAGGTCTTATATATTATATTTTTTCCATCTTAGCATTGTATAATCTCCTTTAACAGTGTTTTCTCTCAAGATTATTTTAAACCAGGATAACAGTCTAAAACACCATTGCTAAAATTAAAAATAATTATGAGAGAACTGACAACCAAAAACAGTCTGAGTAATCCTACTATAAATGAAGGAAAAGCTCTACCAGCAAATTAGACAGAATTATGCAATTTTAAATACTATTTTATGCCCCTTGTTTTACTGACGTAGATGAATCCGGACCAAAAGCTTGCCTGTGAATCAAGATTTCAATATCATTTTTACACTGATAATGCCTCTAAATGAAAAAGAAAAAAAATTTAAAGAAAAGCCATGATGTAGTAAAGAATTCATATGAAAAAAATACTGGTTTTTCATTTGTGAACTCACAGGAGGCCAAATGTGGAAAAGAAATGAGGGTTAATCAGTGTAGCAATATAGCAAATCTTCCTGGGAACTGGTTGGAAACAAGGTTTGAGGGAAAAAGAATAATCCGTATTTGTTCATCCATCCCCTATTATCTAGTAAAATCTCATTGATAGGAGAGAAAGGAGGAGTGAGTGTGTTATCAAGTCACTTCAGTTACTTCCTAGATGTAAGACTCACCAGTGCTAAGTGAGGATATCAATGCCCATCTCACAAGGTTACTGTGAGGACAAAACAGCTATAAATGTATAAAGTGCTGTGTCCATGGTAAATCACGAATAAATGAGGGATATTTCTTATTAATACAGGTAAGAAACCCCTTTCAGAGAGTTGTTTTAAAAGAAATAGGAGCTTTCAAAAGCAAACAATAGTCTAAGATGAAGGAGTATCACAGATGAGAGCAAGAGAGCGAGACAGCAAAAGAGGGTGGAGGGAAGAGAGACAGAGAAAGAAAGAGTCCCTCCACAAAAAAATACATTAGCAAATGTTGGCTAACATCAAAATGAAAGTAAAACTTATTTAATACAGGGGTGAGTAAAAAGTAAGACCAAAACAACTATAACATTGCAATAAGGAGGAGTGCATTTTGGCATCATATTTCCATTTGTCCTGTAAGCACCTGCCAATCCCTGGGTTTTGGGTAAAGTGGGTCAGGAGGCCAAGTCTTAGGCAAAAGCTAGGCAGCAGGTGGCATCAAACCATGGAAGGCTGGAATTCTAGAGAGTAGACACACTACTAGAATTAGAAGGGAAAAATTCCACAAGGCATAGAGGCACTGAAGCTAGGTATGGGTCTCAGGGGTAAAGGGCAAAAAGGAATATTAACTGCAAATGAGCACTACTATGGGTTAAAAGAAGAAATCCACATAACTACTTTATGGCCTAAAAAATTTCAATCTAAATTTTAATGTGTTTCCAGGTAGGTCATACTCCACGCACTTGGCAAAACCACCAAATGCAAATCTTCCCTGGAGAAATGTTTTAATTCTAGTTTCAAGGAATTAATATACTTAGAGTTCCAAGGGACATTAGTTCAAAATAAAACATGCCAAAAAAAAAAAAAGGTGAACAAAAGCAAGAGTCAGATTTTTAAAAATTTGAAACAGAACAACAAAACCTAAAGATACTGAAATAATCAGATGAAGAAAATAAAATGGGTATCTACCATATGTTTAAAGAAATAAATGAGGACACTGAAAGTATATAATAGGCAGAAAGGACTGTCAAAATGAACCGGACAAACTTGAAAAATAACTAAACAGAATTCTCAGAAATGAAAAGTGTAATAAATAAAATATGAACTTGTGGCTGTTTCAACAGCAAACTAGACATGTCTGAAAAAAATAATTTAAAAATAAATGAGCTGGGCGCGGTGGCTCACGCCTGTAATCCCAGCACTTTGGGAGGCTGAGGCGGGTGGATCATGAGGTCAAGAGATCGAGACCATCCTGGTCAACATGGTGAAACCCCATCTCTACTAAAAATACAAAAAATTAGCTGGGCATGGTTGCGCGTGCCTGTAATCCCAGCTACTCAGGAGGCTGAGGCAGGAGAATTGCCTGAACCCAGGAGGCGGAGGTTGCGGTGAGCCGAGATCGCGTCATTGCACTCCAGCCTGGGTAACAAGAGTGAAACTCCGACTCAAAAAAAATAAATAAATAAATAAATAAGCAAGCTAAGTATCCAACCTTATAAGCTGGAAAAAATACTGGATGAACCCACAAAAATGTAGAAAGAAATAAAGAACAGATATTAAATAAAAAATAAAACTAAAAGAGAGGATCAACAAAGCCAAAAGATATTCCCTATATAGGTTACTAAAATAGACAAAAGTTTAGCAAGAGCAAGAACAACAAATAAACACTAGCAATGTAAAGCAACTAATATAAAGAAAACACAAACTTAGACTGCTTAAAGGTGAATTTTTTTTTCTTTTTTTTTTTGAGACGGAGTTTCGGTCTTGTTACCCAGGCTGGAGTGCAATGGCGCAATCTCGGCTCACTGCAACTTCCGCCTCCCTGGCTCCAGCAATTCTCCTGCCTCTGCCTCCCGAGTAGCAGAGATTACAGGCGCCTGCCACCACGCCTGGCTAATTTTTGTATTTTTTAGTAGAGACAGGGTTTTACCATGTTGGCCAGGCTGGTCTCGAACTTTTGACCTTAGATGATCCCCCCACCTTGGCCTCCCAAAGCGCTGGCATTATAGGTGTGAGCCACCGCGCCAGCCTTAAAGGTGAATTCTACCAAATGTTTAAGGAACAGATAATCACAAACTTAAAACTGATTACAAAAGCAGACAAAGGGTTTGAAGAATGGGAAATTACAAATCAATCTCATTCCTAAATATGGGTAAAGACTGGAATTAATGTCAAGCAACAATGAAATGGATATATTTTTGATTTACATTTCCCTGATGACTGATGATGCTGAGTATCTTTTCATTGGTCATTATTTTTTCTTATTCTATAAACTGTGTATTTAAATCCTTTGTCTTTCTTTGTTGCATTGTTTTATTACTGAGTTGTAAGAGTCAAGAGTTCTTTTCTTTTGATGTGACTCCTGATATATGAAACATAATTCTCCCACTCTGGGTTTAGTTTTCATTTTCACTATAGTATATTCCAAAGAACAAAAGTTTTCTTTATGGAGTCCAAAATGTCAGCTTTTTTCTTTTACAGTTTGTGCTTCTAATGTCCTAAGAAACCTAGCCTATCCTAAAGTTAGGAATTCTTTGGTTCTAGTAGTACATAGTGTAAGGTAAGGAATGCATTCATTTTTTTCTCCATATGAATATTCATTTATCCTCATATGTTAAAAAGACTTCCTTTTCCCCATTTAGGGGCCATCTCACTTTTATCTAAAATTAGCCATATCTGAATTGTCTCATTGTTTCATTGATCTATATGTCAATCCTTTTGTTAACATCACAGTCTTGATTACTATATTTTATAGTCTTCAAATCACATACGCAAAGACCTCCAGCTTTGTTCTTCTGAGTTTTCTCTGAATAGTCTAGTCATTTACTTTTTCCATATACATTTCAGAATCAACTTATCAGGTCGGGTATGATAGCTCACGCCTGTAATAACACCACTTTGGGAGTCTAAAGCAGGAGATCACGTGAAACTAGTAGCTTTCAGAGGAGCCTGGGCAACATAGCAAGACTTGGTCTCAAGAAAAAAAAAAAAAAAAAGAAAAGAAAAAAAAAAAAAGCCGTGTTTGGTAGTCCCAGCTACTCAAGAGGCTGAAGTGGGAGGATCTCTTGAGTACAGGAGTTAGAGCTTACAGTGAGCTGTGATTGTGCATTCCAGCCTGGGAGTCTGAGAGAGACTCTGACTCAAAAACAATAAATAAAACAATCAACATCAATTTCTACACAAAAAATACCTGCTGAAATTTTGATTTTCATTAGGATTATGTTGATACCACACATCAATACTGGAGAGAACATCTTAAAAATACTGAGTCTTACACTCAATAAGCATGATATATCTCCTCCATTTATTTCAGGTCTTAAAAATTTTTTTTTCAATACTGCTGTGTAGCTTTTATTGTGCAGGTATTTCATATATTTCATTAAATTGACCTAATGCTAATCATACATGCTTCAGTTTATTAGCCTATCTTGCTTGGAAAGTGAGAGCAGTTCAGAAGCCCAGAATAGTATTTGTGAATATGTGCGATACAATCCAATTTTAATATTTTGTTCCCATACAACTATCCTGATACTAGCTTATTATATTAACACAATTCCTCAATGATGATATAAAAGTAATCTAAGAACCCTGATAAATTATTTCTCCTGAAAATGCTTTCAACAAAAACACTGAAATGGAAATTTACTTACATCACAAATCTAGTCAAGTAGAAAAGGCATATAATCACTCTAAATAATATGACTACTAGGCCAGGCGCAGTGGCTCACACCTGTAATCCCAGCACTTTGGGAAGCCAAGGCAAGTGGATCATGAGGTCAAGAGATTGAGACCATCCTGGCCAACAGAGTGAAACCTCGTCTCTACTAAAAATACAAAAATTAGCTGGGTATGGTGGCACATGCCTGTAGTCCCAGCTACTCAGGAGGCTGAGGTGGGAGAATTGCTTGAACCTGGGAGGCAGAGGTTTCAGTGAGTCGAGATAACACCACTGCACTCTAGCCTGAGTGACAGAGTGAGACTCTGTCTCAAAATAATAATAATAATAATAATAATTTGACTACTTAGGTTATCTTTTCTCTAGTTACCATGTCTTCTTGGGGACTAAAAGTTTTCAAACTATTATAAGTTGACTATTTCTGGTGTGAAAGCTATATATTAAAAAATTAAAATAATCAAATCACAATTTGAAGAAAAAGTTTTACAACATTTATACAAATCATTTGAGAATCAATTTTTATTTCAATGGATACAGACAGTAGTGAAGGTAAGCTCACTATATTACATAAAAACAAACATAATTAGTAAATTAAAAGTAGTGGGGATCAATCATTTAATTCAGTTCATTATTCTCAGTGACATCTCATAGATTAATGAGGTTTGTGTTTGTTTTTTTTATTATCCTGTTGTTAACAGGATTTAACTAACATATTTTCTCACATAAAAAGTTCAGAAGTTAAATAGGATTTTTACAGTGACTGTACAATGTTAACAAAGTTTTAGACATCTTCCATTGTTGCGTCCTGACATCCCTGGAATATAATTTTTAAACTTGTAGTTGTCATATCCTGGTGATAAGATGGCAAACCTACCATAAGCTTATCCAAAAGTAAAAGGAGAGAAGGAAGAAAGACAATGGGCTATAAGAACATGCTAATGTAGTCACAAGAAAACAATCTTGTGACAATGCATTCTGCTACAAGAAAAACAATGGCATTTCCAGAAACCCCTTATACAAACTACTTATTTCTTATATTTTTAAAAATTTATTTACATACTTATGTATTTGTGTGCAGGCTTGCATTTATTTGTTTTCTTAACTAACCGTATAATCATTTAGAATCAGGCTGGAATTTATTTACTTAGATGAAGGCTCGCATTTATTTATTTATTTATTTAATACGGAGTATTCTTCTGTCACCAGGCTGGAGTGCAGTGGTGCAATCTTGGCTCACTGCAACCTCCCCCTCCTGGATTCAAGCAATTCTTCCACCTCATTCTCCTGAGCAGGTGGGACCACAGGCTCGTGCCACTTCACCTGGCTGGTATTTCTGTATTTTTATCAGAGATAAGTTTTCACAAGGTGGGTCAGGATGGTCTCGATCTCTTGACCTCATGATCTCCTGGTCTCAGCCACCCAAAATGCTGGGATTACAGGTGGGAGCCACCCTCCCAGGTTTTTATTTATTTACTTACTTACTTATTTATTTATTTACTTAGACTCAGACTGGCCAGCTTACACTTATTTATGTATATATTTACTTATTTATTTATTTTCATCTTCTTTTTTCTTTTTTGAAGGAAGGAAGGAAAAGAAAGAAAGAGAGAGAGAGAAGAAGAGAAACAGGGAGAGAGATTGGGAGTCTTGCTGTATTGCTGAAGCCTGAGTGCAGTCTAAAAATGGGTATTAAAAAACCTCTTTTATGTCAGTAATTGTGCTTGACAATAGAGACAGTAAGGAATACGGGAGGAAGATAACAAACAAGCAGTCAACCAATATTTCACTTAAACCTGTGAAATGCTATGCATTTGCTAAGAAGTGATTTACTTCCAATTATGTGGTCACTTATAGAGTAAATGTAATGTGGTACTGAGAAAAATACATATTCTGTGGATTTGGGGTGGAGAGTTCTGTAAATGTTTATTAGGTTTGCTTGTTCCGGGTCTGAGTTCAAGTCCTGGATATCCTTGTTAATTTTCTGTCTCATTGATCTAATATTGACAATGGGTGTTAAAGTCTCCCACTATTATTGTGTGGGAGTCTAAGTCTCTTTGTTAGTCATTAAGAACTTGCCTTACGTATCTGGGTGCTCCTGTATTGGTGCATATATATTTAGGATCATTAGCTATTCTTGTTGCATTAATCCTTTTACCATTATGTAATGTACTTCTTTGTCTCTTTTGATCTTTGTTACTTTAAAATATATTTTATCAGAGACAAGAATTACAACTCCTGCTTTTTTTTTTTTTGCTCTCCGTTTGCTTGGTAAATCTTCCTCCATCCCTTTATTTTGAGCCTTTGTGTATCCTTGCATGTGAGATGGGTTTTGGCTTTTTATCCAATTTGCCAGTCTGTGTCTTTTGATTGGGGCATTTAGTCCATTTACATTTAGGGTTAATATTGATATGTGTGAATTTGATACTGCCATTTAATGCTAGCTAGCTGTTTTGCCCTTTAGTTGATGCAGATTCTTCATTACGTTGATGCTCTTTACCTTTTGGTGTGTTTTTGGAGTTGCTGATACTGGTTGTTCCTTTCTACATGTAGTGCTTCTTTCAGGAGCTCTTGTAAAGCAGGCCTAGTGGTGATGAAATCTCTGAGTACTTGCTTGTTCACAAAGGATTTTATTTTTCCTTCACTTATGAAACTTACTTTGGCTGAATATGAAATTCTGGGTTGAAAGCTCTTTTCTTTGAGAATGTTGAATATTGGCTCCCACTCTCTTCTGGCTTATAGGGTTTCTGCTGAGAGATCTGCTGTGAGTCTGATGGGCTTCCCTTTGTGGGTAACCTGACCTTTCTCTCTGGCTGCCCTTAGCATTTTCTCCTTCATTTCATCCCTGGTAAATCTGATGATTATGTGCCTTGGGGTTGCTCTTCTTGAGAAATATCTTTGTGGTGTTCTCTGTATTACCTGAACTTGAATATTAGCCTGCCTTGCTAGGTTGGGGAAGTTTTCCTGGATAATATCCTGAAGAGTATTTTCCAGCTTGGATTCATTCTCTTTGTCACATTCAGGTACACCTATCAAACGTAGATTAGGTCTTTTCACATAGTCCCATATTTCTTGGAGACATTGCTCATTCCTTTTTATCCTTTTTTCTTTAATCTTGTCTTCTCATTTTATTTCATTGAGTTGGTCTTCGACCTCTGATATCCTTTCTTCTGCTTGATCAACTCAACTGTTAAAACTTGCACATACTTCACAAAGTTCTTGTATTGTTTTTCAGCTCCATTAATTCACTTATATTCCTCTCTAAATCATCTATTCTCATTAGCATTTCATCAAATCTTTTTTCAAGGTTCTTAGTTTCTTTGCATTGGGTTAGAATGTTCTCTTAGCTCACAGAAGTTTCTTATTATCCACCTTCTGAAGCCTGATTCTGTCAATTAATCACACTCATTCTCCATCAGGCCTTGTTCCCTTGCTGATGAGTTGTGATCCCTTGTAGGAGGAGAGGCATTCTGGTTTCGGGTGTTTTCAGTCTTTTTGCGCTGGTTTCTTCCCATCTTTGTGGATTTATCCACCTGTCGTCTTCGTAGTTGCTGACTGTCAGATTTAGTACGTCCAGTTTGTTGATGATAAAGTTATTTCTGTCTCTTAGTTTTCCTTCTAACAGTCTGACCCCTCTTCTGTAGGACTGCTGAGGTCCACTCCAGACCCTGCTTGCTGGGGATCACCTGAAGCAGCTTCAGAACTGTAAGGGTTGCTACCAGTTTCTTCTTTTGTTATCTTTGTCCCAGAAGGATACCCACCAAATGTCAGTCTGAGCTCTGCTTTATGAGGTAATTCTTTGGGTATACGGCGGTCAGGGAGCTCCTTGAGGAGACAGTCTGTCCTTTATGGGTGCTCAAGTGCTGAGGAGTGAGCTGCACTGTTCATTCAGAGCTGCTGGGCAGGTACGTTTAAGTCTGCTGCTGCAGAACTCATAAACCTCCCTTTTTTTCCCCCAGCTGATCAGTCCTGGGGAGTTAGGGCTTTATTTATGAGTTTCCATTGTGTTGCTGCCTGTTTTTGTTTTTTTTTTTGTAAGGGCTGCCCTTCCCAGCAAGGAGGCAGCCTACCTCTGTAGTGGTGGAGTGCCTTGGTAATGGCAGACACCCCTCCCCAACAGAGTTGAATCTTCCCGGGTTCAGCTGTGCTTGCTGTGATACTCTCAACCCATAGCGTTTCCAATTGCTATTTTTTGTGGGGGTGGGACCAGCCAAGCCTGATCACCTGGCTCCCTGTCTCAGAGCACTTTTTTTTTTTTTAGTTGAATAGTCGACTCTCTCCCAGGTGTTCCAGTCGCCTGTTGAAAAGGTGCTGGGATCTGTGTGATTTCCTGTGCGGTGCCCCACTGTACCACCTGAAACAGTGGCGTTGAGATTCGTGGTGCTTTTTTGCCTGGGAATCTCCTGGTCTGGCTCCCTATTTCAGTCCCCTTTTTAATCAGCTGATGGGCGACTCTGCCTTCCTGGACCTCCAACCACCAGCCAAAAGGGCACCCAGTCCCCTGTATTTTGTGCTGAGAACTGCTGCGCTAGGGTGCCAGCAAAACAGCCGCACCAGCCAAAAGAGTCGCGCTGGTGACCCATGGGGCTCCTCTGCCTGGGTATCTCCTGGTCTGTGGGCAACAAAAATCTGTCTGGAAATGCAGTGTCCACTCACCCTCTGCACTTTCACTGGGAGCTGTAATCCTGAGCTGCTCCTAATTGGCCATCTTGAATCTCTCTACAAACTACTTATTTCTTATAGCCAGAAGTGTATCACACAACTTCTCCTAGCTTCAGGGGGAGTCACGAAAGATGAATACTTTTTATCTGTACACACTGCCTACTTAAACAGTTCTGAGATCTTTTAATAAGAAGAGTCTGGATACCAGACACTAGGGTGTCTGCCAAAATATACTTTTAGATTGTAAACCTAGCTAAGATGAAATACACTAAAAGTTATTTTGAAAAAACAAAAGACAGTCTTACACAATTAAAACATGAATTTTAATTACATTGAGAGAAAAAAAATCTTTGAAACTTCCTTTCTTGTTATGTACAAAATATATCTTTAATGCAGCAAAAAATGGGCATGACCTTCTAAAGATTAAAAAGTTTAGGGTGGGGTGGGATAATGAACTAGTATGTATTTAAAAAATAGTAGGGCTAAAGCAGGTCAAAGACATTCTTCTTCTTTTTTTTTTTTTTTTTTTTTTTT